TAATCTTCCTTCCTTCCTTCCTTCCTTCCTCTCTCATTGGCGGCGTCAATCACTGCCACTCTAGGGGTCTACACACTTTATGCCGTGATTCAGATAAAGGTGCTCTATCAGGAGTACACTTCTCCGCTCAGAAATGTTCCTGGCACAAAGTCCGACCATTGGTTCCTGGGAAATAGGCAGCGGCTCTTCAAGGATGTGTGTATTTGTGGGCTTCTTCTCGCCCGCTCTTACATTTTGCTTCCAGATTGACGGCCGAGAAGGTCTGTGGACTGCTCAGTATGGCCGGACCGTGAGGATTAACCACCTTCTCGGAGTACGTGTGGAATGATATTTCAGAAATCCGTACTGAAAACGTTAACCGGATTAGTTCAGTCGACTGTAGACGACCGATGCCAAGGCCGTACAACATATTCTCTCTAATAGTTATCTCTATCAAAAACCGGCCCCGGGACGCTATTTTCTGGGGCGCGTCGTTGGCCCAGGTGCGGCAGTCTTCTCAAGGCATATGTGTTGACGCTCTTGCAGGCGTGTTGGTCGTCGAGGGAGACGTGCACAAGAAACAGGTCAGCATCAACTCTAAAATGGTTCGCCGGTGCTCATTATTACATATCATCAGCGAAAGATTTTGGTAACATGCCAGAACTATCTGGAAAAAACCCCAATTCACTTGGCCATTCTAGAACCCGGCCTTTGGGCATCCACAGCTGCGAGTGCTGACAGAAATCTTCGTCGAGAAATCCAGACAGGTGAGTAACTCCCTTGTGTCTATTCGTCTTCCTCTGACGGGGCGTTTAGCTCAAGGGTCTTTGGGCCACGAGAGCCGTTCGAGACGGTGGGGTCGCCCGTGTGAATGTCATACCCGAGTTTAGTCTTGCCGCCCTGGATATTATTGGGAAGGCCGGTGAGATCTTCTTCCTCTTATTCAGAACCGAAATTCACAAGCCTTGTAGGGTTCAACTACGACTTCCGTTCTTTAGGTGCTGACTCCGGAAACGTTCGCGATGAGCTGCATGAAGCGTTTGCGACAATTGCGGGCTCTGACACCCACAACGGGATCACGGATCCCATGAAATGCGAATCTGCGATTTTGCGGAGCGTGTTGGTTAGAAATGTCTTTGGCATACTCTGTTTATACTTGAGACACTTTCGCAGCCTAATACCAAGGTCGACAACATCATAAATAGTTCGCAAGCTACCATGCGACGTGTTGGACAAGGACTGCTGCATGACAGCCGTCGAAAGATTGCGGAAGGCCAGAGCGCTGACAGTGTCGCGCTTCGCGACCTTCTCTCTTTACTCGTTCGTGCTAACATGTCGAAAGATGTTCCGGAGGCGCAGCGACTTTCAGAGAAAGACGTCCCAGCCCGTACATCATGAGCTCAGCATTTCCTGTGGTATTTTGAGGTAGCGACACAGAGGTGCCAACATTTTTGGTTGCCGGGCATGAGACGTGGGTTGATCGCCCATATTTCTGTCCATTTGACTTTTCCCTACTTATAGCACTAGGCATGACAGGCTTGTCTTTCTCCGCGTTAGAAATTGACTTTGTCTCAACAGCACAGCCGCGACGTGGGCCCTCTTTGAACTAGCAACCAACCCGGAAATTCAAACGCGCCTGCGAAACGAATTGCTAGCTTTCGACAACGATAATCCCTCCATGGATGACCTGAATTCCTTTCCGTACCTTGAATGTGTCTTGCGAGAGACGTTGCGCGCACACGCTCCGGTAGCGATGGCCAGACTTTCGTGCTAAAAACCGCCTTTCTTGCGACGTCAAGTTATTCATTCATCCTTCTCTCAGTCCGAGCTGCCACACGCGACGACGTGATTCCTCTGGAGACTCCATACACTGATCGTAATGGAAAGGCGCACGAGACCCTTAGGCACGCCTCATCGCTGCATGCTGCATTCTCGACTCTAATTCTGATTGTCAAGGATTATGAAGGGCCAGACGATCGTGCTGCCCATTTTGGCCTTGAACCGCGACCCCGCTATTTGGGGTGCCGACGCATCGCAATTCATGTAGCTTGTGGCTTGTACAATTTCGAACTGGTGTGCTCACATGCAGGTTGTAGCCCTGAACGGTGAGAGCGCAACCCTGCTCCCTCGACATCCATTCCGGGCCTCTGGGGTCAGATGTTGACGTTCCTCGGGGGACCCCGTGCGTGCATTGGCTTCCGCTTCTCCCTCGTCGAGTACGTGTTCTTGCCATTTCCACAAATCACTTTCCAATTCGCGATGCTAGGTTGAAGGCTCTGCTGTTTACACTTGTGCGGTCGTTGGAATTTGAGCTGGCGGTTCCTGCTGCTGACATTGGAAGGCTTGCTATGGCGATTGTTCAGCAGCCCGTGGTGCGCAGCGACCTCGCTGCTGGGGCCCAGATGCCCCTCTTGATTAAACCTTTTTCCCAGTCGTAATGCATCTCAAAATTACTCCGAATTCAAACTGCGTTATGTGCGGCGTGCACTGACTCTCGATAAACACAGGTCAAATCAATTTGTCCCTAATACCTACCCGATTATTGTCAGATGATTGAGAAACGAATTTGAATCTGAGAGTTTCCGATGTGACCCGTTGGCGAAAATTGCGGTGAGAAATCTGGCACCGCGGATCTTGCGTTGAAAGCGACTGCAAAACGTTCCCAAGTGTGAAGAACCAAAAAGAATTCACGAGCGGTTCCGCCCTTGGGCGACATGAGTGAAATGCGTACAATCTGAAGCAACTGCCCGTCCGTCCGGCTCAGGCGCGAGCCATGAAACCCTCGGAATTGCTCGAGAAATTTTTTGTTAGCCTTCACACTATTGGAACAGTTTGCGGTTTTCGAACGCATGTCGCAGCAGCTCAACCGATCTCATTCTACTTAAGCAACCAAGGAATGAAAGAAAACTCTTGGGCCATCTTGTTCATGATCAGGAGATGATGGGGAAGGCCATCATTGCAATGCGCCAGAATTGAATCGCGGATTAGCAGAGTAGGAGTACAAAAAAAGACAACAGCGGTGAAATTGAACATAAATTGAACCCAAATCAAAACACTATTCACATTTTACACCCGCGGAGGGTCAAGATCACTTGGGCGGCGGCGTCCGCGCACCTGCAAGGCACAGTATGCATTGATTCAGAATTCGAGCAAGATGATATGAGGCACGTACCGAAGAGTCCCGTCCGAGGCGGCGGTACTACGACGGCAGCGGGTGGGCCAGCAGCGGTGCCTGGCGCGAGGAGGGGGTTCGCTACAGACAACCCATTAATTAAACATATAAACTGATGGGAGTTGAAAAAAGACGTACGGCGCCACTGCGCCCACGCTGGCAACTCCGGAGCTGGTGCTGGAGGCGGCGGTGGAGGTGGCGGTGCGGCGGCGGCTGCGCGGAGAGCAAGCTTGCGGCGTGGGACGTGTGGTGCGTGCACGGTGCGCCAGCCTCCCGGTGCTGGTCCCGGGGGCGGTGCGGGTGCCTCGGGGGCCGGGGGCGCTTCCGGTGGGGGCTGGAATTTCCGATTGAAGTGCAATGTTCAATATGAGAAGGGGAAAGACGTACTGGTGCCCATCCGGGTGCGTACACGCCGTCCGCACTGTGTTTCGCTTTGATCGACATCAGTTCTGCGATTTCGCTGCGGGCATTGTTTGAGCAATTGCGGCGAGGCCATGAAAGGGAACGCACAACTGCAGCGCGCGCTTCTCATCGCGGAGCTTCCCGACTTCCGCAAGGAGGATCTTGACCTCTCCCGCGAGCGCCTTGCTGAAATCGTTGATATATCTGCAAGGTTTGATCGCACAGATCAGCGGTCCGATCTACACAGAGGGAGAGAGGAAAGGACTTGGGACCGCCGGGCTGATTTTTGCTGTTCGAATTGGAGGTCATTGAGAGGAGGGAGGAGGGACGCGACGGTGGTGGATGGAGAAGGGGAGGAAGCCATGAGGCAGGGCGATCGGATCGGCATCGTGATCCGCGAACTGAAGTTGAACTTGATGACTTGATCCACGAATTTCGGTTGAATTTCAATTTGCGCTTTGGGCACAGACCGGGAAATCGCCCAGAATGCAGGAACATTTAGGGTGAAGGAGTGCATCGAGGAACGGGCATTTAATAGTGATTTGCCATGAAGGTTTGAGCAGCCATTCATTCATTTTACTCTTTTTTTCACGAGCCGGATCACTCTCTCCTACTTACAGGCTTGAGCTCAGAATTTAATGTAAGTTTGCTTTGACGTTGCATTTGCGGTTATTTACGGAGAACGGCTCCAGTATCCCGAATTTTAGGATGCCCACGCATAACGAAAAGGGAGGGCAGCATCGGATCAGTGGTGGACGGCTCCACGTCTTTGCACCGTTGAGGTGAAGACATCATCTTACTAAGTATGTGACACACGGAGCGCTGTTCGATCCGGGCCCGAGCCATTGTCTGTCTTTGACACCTTTTTCTGTTCTCACATGGCACCTCGGCTCAATTCATTCTCGAGCTCTAGGACTTGAAGCCACTTGACCTCAGAGTTTAACACAAGAAGGAGAGGGAACTATTGGCTCAATGGTGACAGTCTGCCGTCTTGGCACTGAGTATTACATTTCACTCTGTAACGCAAGAACCCCCGTTCGACTAGCCCGAGCGATATCCCAGATAAAGATCACTTTTTTTTGTTTCGGAAATAGAGTATCCGAGCACTAAGTTACAAGTCATGGGCTGATTTAAATTTTTGAAGAGATCAGAATCTGGCTTGCCTCGCGGCGCAGAAGATAGGTATCAAATACCTCCGCGCCCGGCGTACATTTTCGCATGGATTACAAGGGCAGCAAAGATATTATTGGGTCGGTCGTGGTCAGTCCAAGCCTGTGAACTGACCACCACAAGAGCATATTTATCGAGGGAGGGTAAGTTTGACTTGGGCCTGCACGTCTTTGGTCCCGAAATCGAGTGACGCGATACCTTTTCTGAAGTGTATACACCAATATACATCCTTGACTGGATGCTACAAAGTCGGAGGACCAACAACAAGCAGTGTATCGGCTTGGTAGTGGAAGGTCCACGCTGCTCTCCGATGTTCATCAAATATGCTTGGGAAGCACGACTCGCCTGTTCGATTCAGGCCCGAGCCATGCCATGTCGACCTTGTGGAATTTTTTTGTCTCGTGTAGTGATGTTCTGGCTATCGGTTCGGCCGCTCGGCTGGGCCTTGGCCTCGGAAAATCTCAAGCCAGGCGAGGGCCAAATTGTTGGCTTTGGCCTGGCTTTTGGCTTGGCCTGGCTCGAGGGCATGTCAGGGTTTTGACATGGAAATTGTTTTTGGCTTTAGCCTTCATGATCAAAAGCCAGAGAAAGCCAAAGCAAAGCCAAAAACCACGGTTTTTTGGCCTGAGGAAAAGCCAGAACAGCACCAGTCTCGTGATTAACGTCCCGCAATAGGACCTGCGGGTTCGGGTCAGAGACTTCACATGGCTTTAGTTTCAACGGGCAAATTTGAAATATTGGTTCCAACACAACTGGGTGGACTTCGACCACAATTTTGGAACTCTAGACGACGTAATTCTGACTTCCCTGACTGCCAATGGGGCGCAACGGAAGATGAACGCCCTCTGGAAATGGTGCAGTGTTAATTTCATGGTCATCAATACTGTCGTGTCTCTTCTGATGATCTATGGTTCGATTCCAAGACTCCTGCCCGTTTTTCACTGGAACTGAGGCCGTGGTGATTGTCAAATCAACCAAATACATTGGCTTCAACCTGAATTCCACAAAGAGGGATATTCACTATCACTATCACCAGTGAAGTTGGCTTTGTGCTGATCTCCCTCTTATTTCGCCAACTTGCCTGGCCGCAAGATTAAATACCCAGCTTTGATTTCGATGGGCAAAAGCGAATCCTGCAGGGAATAACACAACGCAAGCATTGGATAAGTAGTTATGTGCGGACACATAGAGTTGCATCTCAGATTAAATACCCAGCTTTGATTTCGATGGGCAAAAGCGAATCCTGCAGGGAATAACACAACGCAAGCATTGGATAAGTAGTTGTGTGCGGACACATAGAGTTGCATCTCAGATAAACAAAAAATCATGGACACTGTAGGAGTCGAACCAACGACCTTTCGCATGGACGTAAAGTGCGAAGCGAACGCGCTACCAGCTGCGCCAAGAGCCCAGATGCGCGGCATTGTTGCACTGAGAATTCAGCAGCAGTCTCTTGCGTGTGGGAAGTTTTTGAACTGAAAAATTCGTGAACGAACACACAATCGGAATCAGATCAATATCCGTGGAATGGGTGGTACGATTTGGGATAAACAAGTTCAGGGCTTGTGGTACATCAGAACCCAATTGAACTGGCGTACATAAACTGTCATCGTCCGAGTCGGTAATTGCCGAACATCACGTTGTGTAGTAACGGCCCGTCCAAGGCCCGTCTGACTGGAGGCGCCAGCCATGACATAGTATTATCATTGTGCAACCAATGACGTGTAAGTTTGACTATGATGTACCAGAAACCCTGGTGAGGAAGGCGAAGTTTTCCAAGGACTCTGAACCTTTTAGTAATGCACGCGAACCGGAGAGGCTGACCAGCCTGATCTGTCCTGAAGCCACATAACCGGGCTCTGGAAAACGCCACTTGTCAGCCTCTGTATCCCAGCATAAGACTCCGAGCCTATTTTGAGAGGAACAAGGCGGAGAACTTCAGGTTACCAGTGTAGTTCGCTTCGCTTCGTCGTCTGTTTTTTTTTGGGGGGGGAGGCAAAAACACTGGATTACGTAGAGCCCAGGAATTGGATGCACAGGTACTTAGACAGACTAATTCATTCCTGAACTCTGCGGTCTCAAGTTTCGATACTAATAATATTTAGACTCGATGGAAAAGGGATAAAAGTTGACAGGAAACCGAAACATGATGTAGAGAAACCTAGTATGTAGAGAAACCTACTAGGTTTCTGTACATCTGCAAATAGGTTCAACAGAAGCAAAGGCGCAGAAATGCTCTAGGAATCACCGTGACGTAGGTTCATGCTATTTCCATCTCGGTAGGCTCTTTTTTGTCCTCGGAAATCGGAACCTCCTTCTCGTCGTCGTCGGCATCCGAAACATTGCCTACGGCCGTGCCTTCTTCCACATCCGCCGCTTTCTCTCCGTCCCCCACCTCTGTTTCCTCTCCATCATTGACCACGATTTCACTGAGGGGAGGAGGACCTTCCTCCAGTTCCACGTCTCTCCCAACCGTCGGGAAGCATTTGTCGCTGACCCAAAGCAATAACCGCACCACCAGTTGCCCAACGTAGAGGATTACGAGCCCGTGGAGCAAGAACATCAAGCACGCGCCGGCGTTCTGGAAGACGCTTTTCTCAGGCGACACGATTGTAGTATTCCATGCGTAGAAGTAGCCGACGACGAAGGCGGTGCTGACGAAGAAGACGAGAGTTTGTATCCCGTTTCGTATGGGGGTGGAATTGGTGCGGGATCTCCGCTCTCGAGCTCCGCAGGGCTGGGGCTGAGGGCGGGGGGCGGGCCGAGCCACCTGCGGACGTCGCGGAGGATGGAGAGCAGCGTGAAGATGGCGGGAATGGGTGCGAGCGTCACGAGTCCATGGAGGATTTGCCGGCCTATCCAAACGCAGACGGCGGCGAGGTTTTTCATCCACGGGTAGGAAACCACAACGGAAACCACTGCCTTGTGTCCGGCAGGCGACATGAGGTATTTTGTGAGAGTGTAAGATGTGAGCCACCAGAGACACCAAAGGAGAGCCTTCCAGGGGCTCATGCCCAACCGACAGGTGCGGCGCCGTCGAGCCATGGCGCCGTGGGTGGTCTTGGGTGTATAGTATAAAAGTCTCAAGCGAGCTGTGCGACTGATTTTCTCAGGTCTCGTCACTCGTGGGTAAAAGTTGCGGGACGCCCGCCGACCATCCCTCGCTGCCCAACTCTCATCCCATGCAAGAAAATAAAATCTCCAAATCTCTCCAGTCAGAGACCCTAGAGCAGGCTAAAGCGCTGGAACCTTTAAATTGAGACCTCGGTCGATGACTGTTGGTGATGATGGTGCAGATGGTGAAAATGAAGAATCATTCGGATAAACTGTGATAAATTTGGGCCGAGTACAAATGGTCGGGATTGGGGGCAGTGTGGGAGAAAAGGGGGAACGTAAGGATATCGAGAACAGTGGCGCGAGCCTGAGGTACAAGTCTGCCGCAGAATCCAGATCAGGTAGGTAGGTTGACAGAAACTTGCGGTCATTCGAGAGTTTAGGGGACTCGGCGACAGGTGATGCATCTAGAACCCAAATTATCCTAGGAAATCAGGAACTAGACCAGCGCGCGGCGCGGAATAATCAACTGACCTCGAGCTCCAACTCAACTGGTTGAACGACGGCAAATTGCAGATTGAGGTGTTATCTACCCGTGGACGAACGTTCTGTTAGCAAGATGTGAAAGACGATGTTCGTAGATATGAGAGGGGAGCAACGAACCAATAAAGGTCGCCAAAGATAGAAGTGCCGCTCGGTGGACGTCAAGTGATGAGGTAGCAGTGAGATGATAGAGATAGTTTTCCTACCTGTACGAATTTCCCATGACGCGCGAACTTGCTGATTCAGAATCTGAGAAACCTCGACCCCGCAAGGTCTGAGCAAAGCTCAACGAGGAAGAGGAAGGGGGAAAAGCCTCTCTGAGAGCGCCTCCAATAACCTGTCCACGGGAAGGATACTCTTAAACTTTGCCCACACTTGGTACGGCGAGGTGCGCAAAAGTTTGAGGGTAAAGTGCGCTGAGTGTCCAGGATCAGATACGTCCCTGAGACTTGCACTTATTCGGAGGTTCCGGGTCGGGGGTCTGTGCGACGGATTCGGAGCCAAGAACTTGAAGCACCAGAGAGATGACAATACTTAGTATGGTGGCAGAAGGCAAGAGCAGATTCGGATGTCACGGCGTGACCGTGTCCGTTTCTTCGCAAACCTTCACAATTCCGGAATGCACCTCCTCGAGCGCTCCACTCCTTTACGGGTCGCCGCTGCCGATTCCAGCACGCGAAACGGAGACGAAGATGAAGGCCCTTAGGGGATCCGGCGCCGACCCAGACTCCGTTTGAGGATGCCGAGTATGAAGACGAGGAGAAGGAGGACGCGGAGGTGGAGTAGGGTAGAGCACCTACAACAGAAGCTCAGCTGGAGGAAGAACACGAAGAGGCAGAATTGGAAGAAGGGTATTCCACACCTGCGCTGCGTCGGTGGTAGAAGCTGAGCCCTATTCCCGTTCTCCTGTACTCGCGCCGCCGATTACGAACTAGCTGGCAGGCGGCGACCACCTGAAGGATCTTCTGCTGCACTTGTTGCTCCTTTATCTGCATCAGTTGCTTTTCGAAGGTGGGTCGATCCTTCCTCCTCCCTCATTTCTTTCTTTTCGTTCAACATGGACAGTTCTCTGGTCGCGGGACCTCCACCACGCCGCCTGCACGCCGCCTGCACGCCGCCTGCCCGCGCCTTTCGCCTTATCCGTCCCCTCTCTAATTAACCAACCCCCGCAGCCTGCAGCTGCAGGCTCCCGCGCAAATATTGGCCAAAATCTCCGGGGAGAGCAAAAGTGTGATATTGAGGAGACTGGTGAAACAGACGATGGGCGCCAGTTGGACGCCAGGGCACTTTTCTCATGGTGTTACGGACCAAAGATTCGCACAGGCCACAGCCATATTTGCTCCGCGATGACACGGTGAGCCTTGCTTTCCTCCCCATATGCTCCTCGAGGCCCCATCGTCTCGCCGTGAGCGCTCAGCGCTTCAACAACCAACAATTCCTTCCCCTCAGCTAGACACCCCCACATCTACGAGGCTTTCAAATGCGGGGCGACGTTACGACGGTGAATCAACGGTGCATCTCCGCCACTGTCAAGGAATAATGCGATAATGATTCTCTGACCTTGTATGTTTCCTGTGCTTTCTCTAAAACTGACGCCGTCTATTCTCTGCCGCTGCCTGGCCTCCGGTACTGGCCATTTCACCACCCAAAATTTCTTTCGCTCTCTGTCCATGGCTTGTGGCTCGCTTGTCTCTCTCGCAGGGTATTTTATTCCAGCCCAACTTGGCCGACTTCAACGACGACAACTAAACATCCAAGGCCCCATCGTGCTCGGATCTCCTGTCATTATTGTAACGAGCGCGACCGCTCTCCTCGTATGCTGCATCCTTCGTATACTACCCGCGTTGAGCATCTCCCTGGCGTTCTGGCCGTGGTCGAACGTGCTGCCCACATCTCATGAACAAATGCGCAACTGTAAGCTGATCATGTCTTGCATGAGCTTGCAAATATCCATTCGCCTGCTTCACCGATGGAAATGCTCAACCACTGGGAACCCTTTATCCGAGTCCACGGGTTCACATCCAACCGCTTCCTTCGATTCGCTTTGACCAGCCAACTCCGGGCGGATTGTGGCAGGGTTCTCAAAAAAACCCAGAGGTAAATTAGGCGTCAAATGTTATGACGAATACACTGGCTTCTATGTCATTTATAGCCCGCCTTAATACGACACGGTCGTCTCTACTCCTCCTTTGTACGCCAACCAAGACGGACGCGAAACGAGCTCGTTGTACCACCTGGCCCAGGTCAGTCATTACCCATGCGAAGAGTAAGGTCAGGCATACCGAGCAACGTTAGGGCGGCGGGTCATGATGTCACTTCCACCCAGCATCACATAACTGGCGTACGGGAGGTGGTGCAGGTCCGCGAGCGTGAGCGTCTATTCACATGAGCAAATACGAAGAACCCGGAAGAAACCACAGGAACGGACCTCCCCGGCGAGGTAGCGCTGCTTGGAGAGTATAACCTCGTAAGCGTCGAGTTTCTTGTCCAAAATCTCGAGCTGCTCATTAACGAGCGCTGGATCGTGCGGCCAGCCCATTTCCCTGCAATCAAAAATTCAGAAATTCATCACGTTATCAGTTAGCAGGGGCGTACTTCTTGAACAGCTGAAGGCCTGCTTTGCCCGCGCTCGGCTCCCAGTTCATCAACTCCACTGACGCAGCCTGCTCGAATAGCGCATTCGCCTTGGGGTCGGTCGGGAGGAGCCCGGACTCGGGGTATTTCGCCGCGATATAGCGCGTGATGGCGCGCGACTCGTACAGAATGAAGCCGTCGTCGTCCTGCTCATGGTTAATCAATCGTATTACGCTCATC